CCGGAAACCGTGTGTTGTGTTGTCAACAGCGGAACAGATGCCCAAATAGGATGAAGTATCACCGCCGCCGCCGTGGCTCCTGTCCCACGAGCCGAACAGCTGTCACACACCGGGAGAGAACTGTTACAAAACCTACACGTGATGTACAGCAGACTCACCTCTGAGGCCAGATTAAGAGCAATGGCATCGTTCGAGTCTCGCGGCGCGCCCTCCACTGCCAGAACGATGTGAGCCAAAGGCATGGCGTCGTCACGTATACGGATGTCTGAACCGGTATAACGAGTCCGCGGAAGAATAGGAATCTCTGATTTGTCGTAAAGACTCGTTATTTTGCTAAAACTCTTGTCCACATTCTTCACGCTATATATTGAGTTACAAAACCATTGGTTACATAACAGGAATCAGTTCATCAAAATGCAAACCCTTGTACTTACGCGTCGTCGTGATGCACATCACCGGCCACTGCGACCACAATCCGGGGTCCTTTGAAGTGAGTGTTGACATAGTTTTGACAGTCCTCTTGAGTCAATTGGGACAACGACTCCGAGCGACCGATGACTGGCAATGCGAGTGAAGTGTTTTGAAAGGCCATTGCGTGCAAACCGTTCATCACTACCGCCTCGTTGTCTGCATCGGTGGCTGCCATCTCTCTAAAGACACGATTGCGTGCGTTCTCGATGTTGGAGAAGTCGGGAACCGATACCAATCGGCCCATAATCTCAATGCCTTTCGCGACATCAGTGGCCAAACAGCGGAGTGTGAGGTGAATGGTGTCGCGGCTCACCTGCGCTCGAAGATCACCACCGAATGACTGAATGGCCTTCTCGTCGACCTGATTGAGGAGTGAGTGGACGACCAGTGATGACAGTCCGGACACACTCTCCGTCTCATAGCGGGAACCGCTTTCAATGCAGACATCGATGGCAGCGGTGGCGCCGCCCATGTCTTCGGTGGCCACACGGATGCCATTCCCGAGTTCTGTGAGTTGTGCCGGACGTGAGAGTACGGCCGCCGANTCATAGCGGGAACCGCTTTCAATGCAGACATCGATGGCAGCGGTGGCGCCGCCCATGTCTTCGGTGGCCACACGGATGCCATTCCCGAGTTCTGTGAGTTGTGCCGGACGTGAGAGTACGGCCGCCGAATGTGAGGCCAGACGTATGGCCAGCGCTTCCCGTCTTCGCAACGCTTTGGTCGCAAAACTCAGTATTTGATTGTCTTCGGGAAAGGAGTCGCTGTCAGCGATGGCAGTGAACGGCTCCTCACGAAGACTGACCAACCATTTGATGGTCGGCTCGAACTCTGCTTTCATCACAACTAACGGCTCGTAGAAGTTGTCGAGAATACGTCCGTTCGCTAAGACATCGGCAAAAGAGAGACAAACAGTGAACGCAATGCACTCTAAAGTGAGTAATAAAGTGGACATACATTTGAACACTTTGTTCTTCGGCATAACACTCGTCTCGAAGCGGTATAACGTAAACACTTGTCCCGTCTTCAGCGGTGACTTCTTGAACGGTGTCTTCGCGTACGAGCCGTAGAAGACTATCACCAGATATGTGTCGACAGCAGTGGGCGGACAGTCGTCTTGTCGTTGTTGTGATTGCGGTGTCGATGGCGTCGATTGTTGCGAGCAATCGGTGGTAATGACAATCCGCTTACATTTGGGATCCCCTTCGCGGCCATCGGGCGGACGGAAGTGACTCACTTTGAGCTTCAGTTTGTTGTCGTAGTATTTGTTGTAAGCCTTCAGCGACTGAGCGCTTATAATCACCATATCGTCGATGTCTTGCGGTCAATGTATGGATCAACTAATGGTGACAATCACTCAATCACTGCAAACTAAAGCACTCTTCACTGCAATCGTCTGTTTCTGTTTCGCATTCAATGTGTTTGACGTCAAAAACGTTGCCATAAATGAGAGCCTTATGTGAGCTCTGATTGCATAGAAGTGAACGCAAACCCCTTCTCGTCACTCAAACCCCACTCCCTATACATTGAGCCGTACTTTACGTTCACCGCTAATACACTCCTCAATGCAATCGTCTGTTTGTGTTTCGCATTTCAATGCATTCGATGTGAGGCGACATGTTTTGGCGCGCAATCCTACGCTCTGATTGGTCGACGACTTCACACCGAGTGTGCGATTGCGCGCCAAAACATTTCAATGCGCGAGAGATGGCTCTGAGTTTGTAAAGTGATTTCAATTTGGATTTTATATCAAGTGATGCAAAGCATTAAACATTTAGTAATGTGTTTGCAATGACTATACAATCCCTTCCATAGGAAATAATTTACACTCAAATACAACACACATTCATAACAACCAAAACATAACAAATCATTCATTGATTACAAGAGAAAACCACAAACCGATGAAAGAGTTGTCGATTGGGCGGAGGTTTGTGTCCATCACTGCTACACAATAAACACATCCATATATTAGTGTCAATCCATACCATTATTGTCACCCATTATACCAATCAATCACTGGAGAGGATGTCAAGCATTGTATGTATTGCTACGGCTGTCTGTCAGCCATCACTGTGTTATGCATTGTATATCTGTGTTAACCATTGTATTCCTCCTCAGCATAAGTTGAAGTCAGCCGAGAGGGCGAAAGTGAGACAATTCATACAATTGACGAATTGCTCGGAGAAGATAGCGATCAACTGTTTGGCGCAGAATGAGTGGCGTCTGGAGATGGCGTGCGACTCCTTCTTCACGAGTCCCGACCAATACATGAAAGTCGTCGACAGGAAGAAGATCGACAACTGGTTCGCCAAATACTCGCAGAGCAACGACAAGATACTCGTCGACGGATGCATTCAACTGCTCGATGACCTCAATCTGCGCCCAAACGACCGCAAAGTCTTGATTTTGGCGCAACGGCTTCGGGCGCAGAGACAGTGCGAGTTCACTAAACACGAGTTCACTAATGGTATGATTGACATGAACTGCGACTCCAATCACGCCTTATATCAACGTTTGGTCGAATTGGACAACGAGTTGACCACCGATTTGAATAAACTGCGAGATCTGTATCTCTTTGCCTGGCATTACGGCAAACAACTGGAGGCCAAAACCATGGATTGGGAGACAGCCGTCGAGTACTGGAACATACTTTTGTACAATTGTGTGAACAAACAGTTGCTTCAGCTGTGGATTGAGTTCGTGTCACAAAACGCAAAGGCGGTCACTAAAGACACGTGGAATCTATTGCTGGAGTTCGCGACGAGTATTGACTCAACGCTCAGTAATTATGACTTTGACGGCGCGTGGCCTACGCTTATCGGTATAGTTATATCTGTTCACTACCTCTCCCTCACTAACTCTCTATCACTATAACTAACTTTGGTATTGATTTTGCAGATGATTTCGTGTTGTGGGCCAGGGATCGACTCAAAGCACACAATACGCGCCCAACCATTCAATCCAATCAATGATAAACCCATTGTTCAGTCATCATATTTTCTTTTAATTTTGTAATTAAATAATTGAATTGTTTTTTTCTCTAGAAATTGTTTCAATCGATTTTTTCTTTATATGAAACTATATTTATAAACAGTTTTCTTTAAGTGTTTTTTGTCTGTACCGTAATTATCATTGATTTGCGATTCATTAAAACTGTTGTTCAATACAATTGATATATTAAATGCAAAACTTATAATTTTAGTTGAATTATAAAACTGGTGGTCAAAACTCGTGATGAGTGTTGATAATAAACATTTATTTATTTTATATTAAACTTAAAAATACATAATAAAGACATAAATTATGAAATGTTTAATAAACACACATACCGTACAAATCACCATTTTAATTGTTTAGTTGTTTTAATGTATTTTAACGATTCTTCACTCAATTGGAATTGAATGCAGAAAAATGTTTTTTAAAATAATATATGAGAGAAAAAAGTTGTCATTTGAGAAGTGATTGCTTATTAGGCAACACTTCGGTGTGGAGTTGAGTAATGACAGACACATTCACGCCATACGAAGAACTTCGTTCCCATAAACAAACAGATAATACAATAGTTTTTAAGTGAAAATAGTATTTCGTTTATAAGAATACCCTTTCTGTCGGAGCTCTACTCGAGGCTATCATTTGATAAACAAATTAAATGCCATTAGATTTGTAAATATTTTTGTTTTATTCAAGTGATCAATACCATTGTCTCAATGCTTGTTGTCGTTGTTGGCGAATGAGTTGACGTCAATGGTATTTGCGTTAAGACCGAGTCCTCAAATGTAAAGCCATTGACGTTAAGAGTGGCCAGAATTGCAAACCTATCACTCAATGCCCGCTCACTGTTCTTCGATGAACCCTCTCTATAATGAACACTTTTGTCGTGAAATTGGCCGTTCATTATAGAGTAGTTGGACTGTTTTATAAAAGTTATTTTATAGTATATTAAAAGTTGTAAAAATATGAACATAATATGAATGAAGTAATTATCTAATCTCTTATAATTGTGTCTACTCTTAACGGGTGAACACTTATTGATATAATTGTTTAATCATCGGATGTGTAGACAGGAATCGGTGGCAATGAATGTGAAAAACAATCAAAAGTCACGACAACAGGAAAAAGAAGATATAATAACAACTCATTCACGAGATTTGACTTTAGCCTAAAACCCAACCAACGGATGGATGAGTGAGAGTGTGTCGGGGCCACTGATTTACCACATTTTGCTTACCCGTTGTGTTGGTATCACACAAAATGTGCGAATAATAACAATATGCTAATTACTTTCACCTACAGTTCCGATTCATCGCATCCTAGTCCTCAATAAAAGCCTAAAACACATCTGGTAAAACCTAATCTCAACAAAAGTTATGCGAAACTTGAATATAGTGTTAGTACTAGTGTTGGGCGCCGTTTGGGCCGATAGACCGATTCGTAATGAAAACACGTGTCACTCGACACAATTGGACGCGTGTTTAACACCCGTTCAACGGCTGTCCGACGACCCGAACCCCACTATTTTCGTCACCAATGAAACCAAATTTGACGGCTTTTGTCGGTAAAACAATTGTAAACTATTTGTATCACAATTGCTGTTAAATTGAATGTATATTTTCAGTACAATAGAGGACTCATTTTTCGGGTGTATAACCACTTTCGTCGCCAAATGCGGAACTCCTGCCTATAAAGAGATCTCAAAAGTGGTTTTCGATCACATGTTAAGTCACGTGAGAGAGATTTGCGCCAAAGACTCGTCGTTTAGGACAGGTTTGTCTGAAACCCTTTAAGGCATTCAATTAAATATGTCTACAATTATCGCTATTATCGCGATTTTCTTCGTTATTGTCTTGAAATGGTGTCTAAATCGGCGAAAGAGTCACTCAGTATTCAGTGCTCAGGGAATCGGAGGCCCAAAGCCGTCCCTAATATCGGGAAACGCGTTAGAATTGCGTCCAAATCCCGTTCCCGTTATCGATGAGTGGATTTCTAAATTCGGTCCCATTTTTGGCTACTATTTGGGCGAAACTCCCGTTTTAGTGGTCAAAGAGATGCCTCTTTTAGAGCAAATCTTTTCTCACGAAAACTTTAAAGAAAGGCCCGGAAATATCATTTCTGCAAAACCTTTCATTCACTCAATACTTCACTTGAGTGGCAAAAAATGGCTTAAAATTCATTCAATTTTCGCCAAAGTTTTCACTCGAGATCTGAACTCAAATTTCGCGCAAACGATCAAAGAGTCTGTCTCTCAAGTGGTGTCCACTTTTCCGGAATCTTCTCTGCAAGACATCGATCAAGTGATGCAAACCATCTCTTGTGATATCATTTGCAAAACTATATTGAATCTCAATTCAAACTCAACACTCCTTTCATCACTTCAGCAATACTTAGAGTTTGCGATGAATCCGATCGTAGATCTCGTCCTCTTCTTCCCATTCTTGCGGCCAATTCTGGGTTTTGTAAACAATCACTTGACCGCCGGTCACGTGACCGACACTCTTGTCGCTCATCTGAAGCGTCAATTGCGCGAAGACGTCGAGAAGAATATACTTTTGAGACAACTTTTTCAGAGTTATTCTTCGGGAGAGCTGTCGAGGGATGAGATGATAGCAAACGCTCACATCGTGTTAATCGCCGGCTTTGAGACCACATCAACGGCTCTCACATTTACTCTTTACTTATTGGCCATAAATCCCGAAATTCAACGACAATTACGTGAATCGCTTCAAACAGAAGGCGAAGAATCGCTTCTTTTTGACGGCGTTTGGAGAGAAAGTTTGCGTCTTTTGCCGCCAGTCGTCGGCTTTGTTACCAGAATTGCCGCAAAAGACACCACATTTGGGGAACTGTTTATTCCGGAGGGAACTGTCGTCTCGGCTCCGGTTTGGTCTATACATCACGACTCTGACCATTGGTGTCAACCCTATGCCTTCAACCCTCAAAGATTTGCTGACAAATCGACTAAAAGACCATTTCTGGCATTTGGTTTGGGCCGTCGATCGTGTATTGGCCACCGATTCGCACGACTCGAGGCTTTTCTCATAATTTCTGAAATCTTAAACCGGTTTCACATTTCTATACCTGAGTCCACACCTCCGCTGCCATTAGAAACGGGTCTTAACTTTCGTTCGCCGACTTCTGTTGTCTTAAAGCCTAAAGAACCGATTGTTCTTCACTTTCACTCAATTTTATGATTTTTAATCATAATTTATGATTCATAAATAAGTAGAAAAATCATTATTAATCCAAAACTAACTCCTAATCTCTCTCCACTTTCCTCCCACTGTATGTAAAATTACTCACATTAAGTAAATGTCTATACTTTACAACTGGTTTACTATGTGTTGCAATACATTATGATTAATAACTGTTTGCTTAATTATAATTAGTGTTAAATAATGCATATCTAATGAACTCTTATATTGCGATATCAATAATTAAAACATTATTTAATTATTTATGAGTGTTTAAAACTTAATCACTTTATTTGCAAACATTGTATCTCTTTTGACAGAACTCTTCGAAAACGGCAAATGTCTTCACGAGAAGGTATTGTCGCAGAAGTGGTTCCACAGGGACTGCAACCCACTGTTCCCGAGAGCGCCGCCCATCGATGCGCCGCTCACTCAGCAAATAGACGTCACGTGTTGTGGTCTCAGGCAATGGGAGGACAAGTGTGTCATCCCTTCCGTACGGCGAGAGTGCGGAGAGTCTGGCGTTCGAGTGATGCGAACACTCGTACGCAAAGCGACCGCAGATTTACCCGATTTTATGTGCAAACAAAGTGTGAAATGTGTGGAAACCAAACACAACGACAAAGCCATGCATTTCTTCCCATTTTTCATCAATCTTTTCAAAAGAGACCACAAAATGTGAATTCAATTAATATATTAATACACAAAATAAACTGATTTTTTGGGCAAAATTTTTACGCAATAATAAAAACACAAACTTTCAAAACTTTTTCAAAACCAAAATTATGAGCGAATAGTAATAGTTGTGATGAAATGTGTGTCAAAACAAATAAAAGTTTGCAAAACTTTTTTCTCTCTACTATTTTGCACCAAAAAGTGTGTAATAATGAGTGAAAACGACATCTATATTGAGATATTGTCTTCAAAAACGTTTGACTCGTTTTTCAAACATTTTTGTCAATTCATTGTTTGTCACTCTCTTTGAGCGCCGAATCGGGTGTCCAGTCGTCCACTGAATGCCCGCAATGGCCGCCGAAGGCTGGGATCCGTTCGCAGATAACACTGCCATTCAGGACATGAATGATGACTATTTGATGGCTTTGAGTCTTCAGGCCATTGAGGATGAGTTCAACTCTCACTCGCAATCATCTGCTGTTGTCGGCCACGAATCTGACCACCGATTGGCCACTGATTATGAATTGGCGATTGAGTTGTCGAGAGAGTTGGCCAAAGACGAGGCGGACAACGGCCCGATGGACCCGACGGACATCGTGTCGCCCCGTCTCGAGCTCTCAGACCCCAGTCCTAACATTTGGGAACTGATGAAGATTTTTGACCGCATGTTCTTCGCCGGCGTTTTAGCCAAACATTGCATTGAGTTGTCGTGGAGTTCGCGGATGACATCAACAGCTGGTCTCTGCGGTTGGGATCCACACACTAAGTATGCCATCCTTTGCCAAAACTGATCACTCGTACTGTCATTATCTTTGTCTTGTCCTTCATTTGCAGCTTTTGTTTCATTCGTCTCTCTTTGCCATTACTTCAGTTGAGATCACGAAAAGATTTGGTCGAAACGCTGATCCATGAGATGATTCACGCCTTACTCTTCGTCACCAAACAAGGTATGCGTCGGTTGTCTGCGAAACCATAACTTGAATATCATTACAAAGCAGTGTTTGTTGTCATTTATGTTCAGATGATAATCACGAAAGTCATGGCCAGAAGTTTCACGAACACATGTATCGCATAAACCGTATGTCGGGAACCGATATCACAGTTTACCACAGCTTTCACGACGAGGTCCGCAGTTATCAGCAGCACGTGTGGAGATGTGACGGCCCGTGTCGTACGAGAGCCCCCTATTTTGGTTACGTTCGGCGAGCGATGAACCGAAAGCCCGGACCCTCTGATTATTGGTACAAATTTCATGAGAAAAGCTGCGGAGGAATGTTCACCAAAGAGTCGGAACCGCCGCCAAAGACCACTCACACTAATGCCAGTCAATCCATAACTCTTACGCCCGAAAAACTTAATAACAAAGATATTAGAGATTATTTGACACCAAATGTGTGGACGTCGGCCACCGTTAGCACCACTGACGCCAATGAGAGCGAGAAACCTAAGGTCGAGCTCTTCGCTGGAAAGGGTCACAGATTGGGGAACATTAAGACGGAAAACAATCCTAAATCAGTGATAAATTGTGATAATTTCAATCAAACGAGTGGTAGTAGTCTGTTGTCAATCGATGGCAAACCGATTGTGCCGTTCACTGGCAGAGGGCATGTGTTGGGCAGTCGGCAAACTGTGGGGCAATTGGGCTCTACCAGTGCCGCCACTTCTTCGGCACCCAAACCCAAATCACTGCCAAAACATGTGCCACAGAAGAAGACAACAAACAAAACGCAAAACATAGAAGTGATTCAAATTGATTAAAATTTCATTTAATATTTATTTTTGCTAATTTATGAATTGCTTAACATGTTTAACAATTCATTGTCGAGTCATAGCGTGTATAATATGAGTGATTATTTGATTACTAAAATTATATTTAAATTGTTAATTGTTTCTAAATTATCGATAAATAAACGCTAAATTATATTTAAAAATTTCAAACAAATTTTATTAAACTTGATTTAAATTTAGAATATTTAGTGTTTGAACTAGATGTATTAGCGATTTAAGTTTTAAACGTGCATGCAACTTTATTTTTATAGTGTTCATAAAATGATTATTTTTGTTACGTTTATAAGAATTTTGTAATATAAAAGCATAATAAAAATATTCCCAATTGTTTTATACATAACTATTATTTCATATTATGTAAAATGGTTTTAATTAAAATATTTATTACATTTAATTGTCATGTATTTTTGATTTTAATGTACAATTCATTGTAATTTATACTAATATTTCAATTTATTATAATGTTTTAGTTTATTTTGAGTTAAATATTCAATTTTGAGTTACTATTGAATGCAAAATAGGACTGAAACCTAAATTTAATGTTTTAATAAAATGTGTTTATTTAAGAAATGCAAATATATTTATGAATCTATAATAACTACTGATAGTTGTATCTGAAAACATACATTCAAATGATAACGTGTTTTATCGTATCTAAAGTATACCTCATTTGGGGAATAATTAATGACATTTTGTGGGAAAAATTATTTTTAAATTTGAATAAATAATTTCGACATTTACTCCTTTTTCGACACAAAGAAATCAATTGTCTGTTTGTTTGCAATAATGTATTCAAAAACATCAAATTTTTTCACATAAACTTTCAATCTATACATTGGTTTACATTTTCAAATCAAATGTTAGTTTTCGTGTTTAAAAACGATAAAACTTTTCATTTTAGTTGTTTTTATCATTGATTTGTGAACTTATTCTGAAATGAAAGCAATTGATTATTATAATTAAGAGATAATATGATTTAATTTCAATACTTTTACAGCCAAAGTTAGAAAACTATAGATATTTTCATGTTTTGTAATAAATATTAATTATTAGTTGAGATTATTATTGAAAAACAAGAATAAGAAGACAACTCGTAAAGACTTTTAGTCTATAAGTTATAAACTCGATAGAAATATTTGAAACTTTGTTGGGAGAGAGAGAGAGAGAGAGAGAGAGAGAGAGAGAGAGAGAGAGAGATTATTTTAGTTTTAGTAGTTNGAGAGAGAGAGAGAGAGAGAGAGAGAGAGAGAGAGAGAGAGAGATGTTATTTTAGTTTTAGTAGTTTGTATTTTGTGGATTCATATGAACGCTCTCTTATTAAATCATTTGCCGATAAAAAATTTTGAGTTTTAATACAATAGAACCATAAATTTTAAAATACATTTTGATTTTTTTGATGGCTTTAATGTCCAAAGTTTTACAAGTTTTATATACTATTAATATATTTAGTATCCATTAAATCGCTGAAATATTGTTTGTCTAAATCTTTGCTTTTTGTTCATTAAATGCATATTTATATATAAAGCGTACAACAAATGCGAGCAAATTATACAGTGTATGGACTTTATTACTGAACTAATTATATAAGGTATACATTTGTCTGATTTTTGTTTTTGACTCAAATGTAAAACAACGTTATATTCTTTGGGAAGAGTTGTTAAAACAAATTACAAGATTTAGTTATTTATTGATACAAAAATGTCTGGTTTTTTATTATTTATGACTACTTTTCGTGCAAAACATCACATTATATGTGAAGCAAAAACAGGAATATTATATTCATTTGAATGCTTTTTAGGCAAAAATATTCAACATTTATATATTGAGAGAGGAATAACACTTTGGTTTCCGCTCTTATACCGGGGTTGAGACAAAACATAATACTGTTTATATCGCAGAGATATGGGAGAGAGAGAGAGAGAGAGAGAGAGAGAGAGAG